TAACTTCGGTAGCAAGGAAGCAAAAGGAAATGGCCTTTTCTGAAGAGAAAGAAGTAAATGTTAAAAACTATAACTCTACAACGAACTGTCCAATTTCGATGATTTTTTTTATTTTGTCAGCAATTCAGAAATCTTTCATATAAATGTGGGTATTATCAGTCAAAAATTCTGTACTTTTTTAGTTATCGTCAAATAAAATATTGAATTCATCGTAACATTTTTCAGCTCGTTTTCCGGAAAGTATGTTATACACATAAATTAAAAGGGTTTCAACGGGTAGACTTTAGTCAAGTATCGTTAAAATCGGTAAAGCCGTTTTGGCGCTACAGTTTAAAGCGACACATTTTTTTGCGGCTTTGAACAGAAAAAAATTTACATTTTTATTTTTTTTACATATATAAAATTATCGTAAGACAAAAGTACTATGCCAGAAACCTTCCCAGGAGTGTACGGAACAACTTTCCAAAGTTTCATGGCGATCGGAAGAATGGTTTAGTAATGCACAAAGGACAAACAGACGAACACACATACGTTCATTTTTATACGTATAGATGTTGAAGAAAATGGTCCGTGTTACAGACCCCTTTTCATCAAATTATTAATGTCTGTCTAAAACTTATTGAATTGCTTCATTTTTCGTAACCTACAACATTTTTACCAACGAAAATTCTCGAACATACCGTTTTCAATCAGGAAAGATGTAAACATTGTCTATTTAATGAGGTACTATGAACAAATGATCACCCATTTTATTTTCACTTGAATCGTGAGATAATTTGATAATCGAATCGAGAAAAAAGTGTGGCCTACAAAAATATTGAACCGTTTGGCGTGACCTCCAAAATGTCAGAATATCGGGGGTATATAGGACAAACGGTCAAATATTTTTGTAGACTGCCTTTATTTTAAATTTTGTGATCAAATTATCCTACGGTTTAATTGGAAATAGTGTTTAAGTGATTGTTGAGCTCATATTAAATGTAACTGCACAAACAATAATACTTTTAGACGTAATTTTTTTTTTCGTAAAACTTGGTTATATTTCACCTTCAGCTAAAAAGTCTCCCAGTCAACCATTAAGCCTCCCCAAAAAGTCTGTGGATCCATCAGGATTTTTCGTAAGCCTCGAATCTACTAAGCATTCTAAAACATTATTAGAAATTCGATAAAACAACCGATAGATGTATATAAAACCTATCATTTTCAAATGCCTTTTAAAACGTACTACAAATTTCGTTTTGATACAAAATTAATAAAGTTGCTCTAACCAATAATTAAATAAAGTTAAAAATTATATGGGTGGGTTTTTAAGAAAAATATCAACTGAAAAGAACACAGATGTTTTTCTTTGTTCTAAGAGACGCCTCAGAAGAAAATACTTTTTTAAAGAAATTCTCAAATAGTTCCTCATTTAAATTTCACTACTCCTAAATTGTTTACAAATTTTTAAATTACTTCACAACTCTTATGTTGCTTAATAATACCGAAGAAAATATCAAAATAATACAAGATTATACCAACGACAAATATAGTAAAAAAATATCATTGAAATTCCGAAACAATATAGAATTCAATTTCTTTCACTTAAACTAATTCCATAAAAAACGAATTGGAATTTAGTATATTTATTTTCCTTATTTATAAGCTGGTTTTCAGAAAATGTAATAGATGTGGCTTGTGGTACTTCAATTTGTAAGGCCTCTACACACAGAATGCGATATTCCACGACGATACGATATTCCTGTCGGCGGTGATATGGCGTAATAATTGTAATTCTATCGATTGCGTTATAGAAGTCACATAAAGCGCGATAATCAGTAATGATACCGACTAAGGGTATCGTATTGCCTGGATATATCACGTTCTATGTGTAGAGACCTTAAAAGGAAGGAAACGCATTATCGTTACTCTGTGTGAAGGCCGTAAAACCACTTACATAAGTAATGTTGGTTTTACTAAGAAAAAGCTGTAAATCTATTGACATTTCCTACAGTAATATTTTATTGTATTTCAGATTAATTATTTAACAAAAAAAAGAGTTACATTAACTAAATTAGAAAATTTTGTTGAACTCTTTTAGAAAATCTCAACAGAAACTTTAATAGCTCTCGAGTAAAAAAATAAAAAACCTATTTTGGAAATACAACTAGATTCTTGCATCATGGTATTTTATATTGGAAGAGAGACAAAGCATCAAAAATGTAGTACCTAATAATTTTTTTTGTGATTTCCGATCCAATAACCGCGTGGAGTATTAAATAGTCAATAGGGACCTACTTAAGTTCAAGTAAGTTCGAAATTTCGGATATTGGAGGCCTGGTCTTTTATTGTTTAAAAATGTGACTCTGGACATATCATTTCTACTTTGATTTTCTACCGAAACAAATGATTTTGACAGATTTGAAAAATAAATTGAATATTTTAATAATTTATGTAGTATCACCATAATAACAATGTAAAGCAGTATCTCTTATAATAACAAGTAAATCAATAACAGGAAAATTACTCCTATTGGCTTCTAGCCTAATCTTATAAAGATTACATAAAGGTCAGGCAAGTAATCACCTAGCTGATTGAAGTAAAAACATTATTTATATTAATATCACTAAACCATTTCTCTAATCAATAATTTACTTAACTTATCTCATCTTCTTTTCCATATATTCCTTGATGTAAATTGTCTACGTCAGGCTAAATATTTTTAATCATTAGTATATTGACAGCCACACTGTAAAATCCTGTAAGGACAATTTCTTTGGAAAATGAGGTTTTGAGCTTTTCTGGTAGCACAAAATGAAATCTACGATGTTTCATTTCATCTCTATGACATTTTGTAAAAACCTGTAACTTAAAATGAGCAAATTGTGATGTACAAAACTGTAAGTTACAGTGAAGGTTATTGAGATTGTGTTATTACCGAAAAAAATGTAATGAAATGCTCAATGAAAGGTGGTCATGTAAATATAGAATTTATACAGCGTTTTTTGCATGAACTACAGTATCAATTAGCTTTATTAATAGGACAATTTTTTCACATGCGCTTCGTATTCTTTTTTAAATTTCTAATAAGTGGCGGGCACATCCATTCCGGCGCCTCTGGGATAATGCTCGGATTCCCTTCCCTGAGGCATTGCTTACCATCGAACTAGAAGAAATATTGAACGGTCTTTAAAACAATCGAAACCTCCCGGCAACTGCTAAATAAGCTTGACTGGAAAAAAGCTACAATTCCGCCGAATTCCAGATAGTGTGAGACAGAGAATTGATTTCATTAATTGAAAATTTTAACAGAAAATGAAAAAAGAACTCTAGTTTCATTTTTGCAATGCTATGAATCTTCGAAATCGCAAACTCAGAAACGAAGTGATCTATACATCAGCAAGTTACGTGAATCAAACCACATCCATGAAGTTGATAACGAAACTTTCTTGAACTACTCCAAAATGGGACATATGCTCTCCATCCAAACCACTGCTAAAGGAGCAAAAAGTGAATAATCCCTGTGATCAAATACTTGCTTACCAGTCAAATTCTTTAAAAATTTTCATTTGAAGTATTGTTTCTCTACATTTTGGAAACTGACTTTGTTCCTGTCATGATTTGATCATTATTAACAAAGTTATGGGTGTTATTACGATAAATTTGATTGTTTACACCTAACTTACACCTGTTTTTCAAAGTAACTATAAAGTTATAAGTTGGGAGTAACGGCTCTGAAAGATTATTTCGAAGAAATTCGATCAAAAAAGTTACATAGAGCATTACATCTTTGTCTTAGGTCTGAAAAAAAAAAAATTTAACCGAAAATATAATGCTCATGGAACAAAAATTAAGCTGTTCTTTTTGTCTCCTGAAAAGTTTTGTTTTTGTTCTTACAGGCTTTTGCAGTGTGGCTGTCGAAATATTGTTTCTAATTTATTATAGAGTTATTCAGATGTAAATAATACATAGATAGTTCTATTATTCATACCATTTATTTATTGTTAATTATTACAACCGTTTTTCATTTAAACAACTTAAAACCCTTTATTTAGTTTTATTTTAATATTTATTAAATTTTCTAACTATATATTATCAAATTTAAATTATCTATTATAGCTAATTTAGTGAAGTGGAAAAATATAGAATTGGAAGAAAATTTTTATTTTTATATATATATATATATATATATGTGTGTACAAATGTCTATAAAAATGAATATTGACCAAACAGGATTAGATAACAAATCTTGATGGTCCCTTGTATTAATGTATAAATAAAAATAATTGGAGAACATTTAGCATAAGGGAGGCTTAAAGCCAAATGACTTAGAGCTCAGTTAAAACGGGTAGGATTGTCAATTATTACTTTTCCTCCTTCATCATGGGGTATTAAAACAGAAATAGTGAAAATTCAAAGTTACTCTAGTGGATACCACTGAGACAAGGCTGCCCAAACTACTCACTGGTCTGAGCCAGTGTTGCCACTCATATTGTTAAATTTATACTTTACAAATTATTTATATCAATCAAATATGTATTGTATTTATATAATTAATAGATAAGAAATAATAAGGTAATTTTCGATTACAATTTACAGTTAAAACATTTTGCAAATAGAATGCGACATTTGTTTTTTAAAAAAATACAATAAGAACCAAATCACTATGAAGTTAATTGTTGATTGATCTATTGAGATGTGGTATCAATAATTTAGTGTTGATAAAGTGTGATATAAAATAAAATAAGTTTATGCAAAAAAAATAAAATATACTTATTTGAAATATGTTACATTTATTGTACATACAAAGTCCATAAGGATGTACAAGAGGAATTAATCTAAATAAAACAAAATAATTTAAAAATTTATAATATATCAAAGAAAAGCTGAATTCAAAAGAAATAATGAATTTTGATATTTCTTTATTTATCATAAAGCCTCTACTTCCTGATATATTTTTCAGAACTATATTTTTTATTAGAACATACCTTTAGAATAATAAATGCTTATTTACCCAACAGGAGTGTATATATCCCGAGTAGAAGAGGGGAGTGTTGCTGAAAGAGCTGGATTAAGGCCAGGTGATACCATTCTTCAAGTCAATGGTACTCCATTTACCAACATATCCCATGAAGATGCTTTAAAAGTGAGTTATAGCAAAATATTTATTGTCCATAACAGATTATCAGGAACTTGAAAATAACTTCAACTTCAGCAGATAATGACTCTGCTTTTTTAAGTAAACTCCTTTTTTTTTTGCTACAACACATGAAGGGTTCTGGATTCATTTCTTTGTAATGAAGTACTGTTTCTTGCTCAACTGTTGGGTAAGGAGTTAATTTAACCAAGCTCTATTATCAGGGTTTTCTCCTTAATTAAGTAATTATAGAGGCTTCATAGAGGCTAGGCATGCCCTAGGGTTGATCCATGGCTGCTATGTAATTACCTGCCACAATCAGACTCGAACCTGAGACTAGGAGAACAAGAGCACAGTACCTTGTTCAATGAGCCATCTTGCTTCCATAAATTTCTAAATAGGTTCTTGAATATATATATTTGTTTCTTATTTAATCTAGTATCTTACAGATGCAAATAATATTCCTATAAATTTCATTAATTATGATACACCATATTGCTTATTAATAAAGTTTGAAATATTGAAATCCAAATGAAATAATTGAATTGAACAGAAAAACAGGATTTATTATAACATTTTTTATTGAAAATCCATCTAATTTACCTTTTTTTATATTTTCTTACATTATGAAAGTAATTAAAACAAAATACATTAATTTGCCTTGCATTAAAAATATATTCACTATATATCATATATTTATTTCAAATTTTCACCAAATATATTTTTAATGTAGCTAAACTTTTAAGTATTTGTTCATGAATTTCAATCTTATTTATCAATGCAAAAACTCATTAAGTACATCACTAACCTTACGCTATGTCAAAAATAATTACACTAAGTGCACAATATACTGGTTTCATAGAGGGAAATTCATTAAATTACTCAGTGATTTGATTTTATAAAATGCTACTTAATGGCTTTTTACTGTAAACCAAAAATATAATTACTCGTGCTTATTTTCTATGTAAATTTATAAATGGAAATTATACTTGAAAACTTGATAGTGGAGTCTACGATTACACAAGAAATAATTTTTAATAACCAGTGTAGATTGCTAATTATCTTTTTAAATTGAGATCTTAACAAAAAGCAACAAGGTTTGTTAAATAGTAATATGGTAGGTTATTTATTTAAGTTTCATACCATGAAAAGGATGGAACATATGTTACATCGTTAAGTAAACTATTTACTAGATATACCATAATTTATAATATCTAATTCAAAAATATTAATTAAAATTGGTGACAGATATTACCTCTACCTTAATTCTGTTTACATTTTGAATCATTGCTAGATCCTCCTAAAAAATGTATTTTTTTTCATTTGGCAGGTACTGAAATCTTGTAGAGAATTGAGCATTACTGTTAGGAGTACTGTCCCTTTTGTACAGCCCCCTCCACCACCTCCACCACCACCTGTGATTCAACCCCCTCTTCAAACCTACTATACCTGGGTAGATAGGAAAGGAAGGCCTGTTTCTCCGCCACCGAGATTCAGGCAGTACCATAGGGATAAACTAAGGAAAGTAAGTAAGCAATTTTTTTAAGACCATTTTCTATATTCAATTATCACTATATTTAGATTAGTTTAAAAATTATTTTCAACAATTTTTCTGTATGCAGACATAACCAACCTTAAACATTGTTTTAAGCGTAGTCATACACCTTCACCTGTACCTAACTTTCATTGATGAATTTGAAAGCATAATTTTGATGAAAAAATTTGTTACTTGCTTTATTTTCTCTAAAAAACATGGAACAAGATCCTTACATTCTAGGTATTGTTTTACTATTTTAGAACCATAATGTTGATAGAGTGTCATATATTAAAAAAAAAAAAAATTAAAAACCAAACCCAGTCATCACTGACTCTGCTTCAATCCTTAGAAAGAGTAGTGAACAAAAATGGAAAGATTAACAAAATTCAAATTAAATTATATCGCACTTAGACATCAGCCTCTCCCTCCATTTTACAATAACAATAGAGTCATTAAATAGACTATCACAATGTATAGACTTACGTTTGATATGACAATCAGAGGTCTAACAATGAAACCGTAATCCCTTACCCAAAACAAAATATTAAAACTTTAGTATTTATCTTAAATCTTGATAACCAGAGATCACCATATTATGGATAATCAAATATTCCGAAATACTGAGGATCCCACTTAAGCAATGCAAATTAAGGAATTACGCATGAAATAATGCAAAACTAAATTTATTTATTTATTAATAAATTAATTTATTAATTTAATAATGCAAACTTTTATTTAAAAAAAAACATAATAACCATTATAGGAGGAGAAGTTTGATAGTAATCAATGAAATTTTTATGACAGGAAAACAGCCCCATCCCTTTCCACAATCCAACTTTCTCCACTATGACTAGTCAAAATGTTATTCCCATAACCATCAAGAGCTTGTCAGGTTACTGAACTTGTCCAATTAACAAATGTTGTACTATCAACATGTATTTTATAGACCGTAGGCAGGGAACCTAATCATTAGAAGACATTTAGGTTATGCATTGATGAAGAGGCTGCATTTAAGTAGGCTTAGGAGTGGGGTAAGGCATGTGCACAGCACCTTATTGCCCGGCAACCTGATATAATCTCATGTCCTCACCTCTGGCCCAGGAATAATCCTGTATAGCCTAAAAGATGGGGGAGAGGAGGACAGAATTAAAAAAGTTAGGCAGTGATAATATATTTATTTATATTTTATCATTCAGAAGAACAAGCTCACCATGGGCACCTGTTTTTCGCAAAAGTAAATCTCGGTTGGTGTCAATGCTCTAAACTAATTGTTTTTTCTGTTTCTGATGTTTGTAATTTCTTATTTTCTTTTGTGTTAAAACCTTTTTTTTTTTTAATTGTAATAATTGTTTCATTTATTTATCTTATATTAAATTGTTTTCTTTTGTTTTGTTAGGTTGAAATAATCGTTGAGCCAGGTCAAAGTTTAGGGCTCATGATCAGAGGTGGAATAGAATATAATCTTGGAATCTTTGTCACTGGAGTTGATAAAGATTCTGTTGCAGAAAGAGCAGGTCTACTGGTAGGTATATACTATTTAATAATTTCTCCCATTTTAGTAGTAATTCAATGGAATGTCAGTTTTAAAAAAAATGTTAAAATTGGCATTAAATATTTTTTTTATATACATAAGTTTAGGTTGTTTTTGTATTCATTAGTTTATATTCATATATTTTGATGTAATTTTTATTTAATATAAACCGCATGTGTTTTAGAATTCCTTAAATAATCCAATACTATTTATTTACAAATAAACTATTTTGTTATTCTTTAATATTTTTTTATATAATCAAATTGATTTTAATTACATTTTTTCTTCTTGATCATATTATTTTGTACTGCTGAGCAGTGTGAGGTAAAATTAAATTTCACTAAAAATGTACTTAAAAAATCCCTATTGTCTTTGTAAAAAAAAAAACATTCTGTAGTGGATGATATAATGTCTCTTCTCTACAAGATATTCACATTCAATTGCAAGTCACAACTGTTAAAAATTACAGCTGTTGATGACCCCAAGGTTTTACGCTTTAAAGTCTAAACAATCAAACTGTTAAAAATCTTACCCTATAACATAACAATGTTATAGATAACTAATTAATGTTTCTATTAATAAAATATATCATAAAGATTTCATTGATAAAGACTTATCCTAATTATATGAAATAGATTCAAGCTACTATTATTTATAATAAAAATCATAATAATTATAAACTAGTTAATTAATTAAAAAATTGAATATTACATTTTCTCATCATGTCCTAATATTAATTTTATATTTTAAATTCAGCTTGCATCACTATATTCACTATCTGTTGAAATTATATAAATTTCCTAGTACGAATTTTAAAATAGAAAATTTTAATTTTATGAAATTACTAAAAATATTTATTATCCTCATAGATTGGTGATCAAATTTTGGAAGTGAATGGTCAGTCTTTCCTAGAGGTTACCCATGATGAAGCTGTCTCACAGCTTAAATCTCATAAAAGAATGATTATAAAAGTCTGTGATGTTGGTAAAATTCCTCACTCTTGTTCAACACTTGACATGCATTGGGCCGATACACCACACAGGTAAGAATAATTGTTTAGCAATATGCTTATATGTTCATAAATATTATTTCATCACATAAGTTGTCACTTTCTGGTATTATACTAATTAATTAGAAACCACAGAAAATTTTGAAATTTAGATTAATAATAGAGGAGTACACTATCAAAAGCTAATACATCCATGTTGGGAAAACTATCTCTAAAATTATTATTCGTTGGCATCTCATATAGATACATTAAATTTTGATTTAAAATGCTGCATATTACAAAAAATTACTTCTAGGCAGCCAACTTGAAAACACTACGTCGCACTTTAAACCGAGTGTATTAAAACATCCTCACAACCATTGAACTAATCAGTGACCAATTACCTCTTTCAAGAATTTGAATTACTTTATTTTTCATATTTAAGTTAAGTAAAATAATAAATTAAAATAGAGTAAAATGATATATTTAAATCATATTCTCCTTATAGATATTTTCCTGAAAAATTAACATTTCTTGTGATTATAGGATATGAACAAGGCTGTACTTTTTACCTACTCGTTTATTCATCTTATTCCTCAAAATATTGACCATACTTTTCTAAATCTTACATAGATTTTAGTTCTTTGCTGTAAATAAGCTCCTTATATTTCAAAATGTTGTCTTATTTATATTTTATGTAGTTTCAATTAAAATAAATATTTGAAAATCGTTTGTAAATAATACTTCTTTATAGGGCATTGCATAAGTAGGAAAGTACACTGAACTCAGATAAAATTTTTTTCAAAAATATAAAACAATTTAATCTTATTATCACATATTGTTCCAGAACATCTTCAAGGTGACATATCACTACTGTTAGTACAAAAGATCCTATGTGAAAATTTACTTTTTTTTACAAGAGTGCATAAAAATTGATTATTTCTTTATGATTATTACTATGATTTCATATTTTTACACAGTATCAGACTAATTATAGCAGTTGTAGATTACAAAGTGTCGTCTTTAGCACAGATAGAATAAGGATGAAATGCTGTTACATTATATACAACCCTTTGCGCTAACAGTGGATTTATACATTTTTTTCTAGTGTTTAAAACTGTGTTGTACCTCAGAGCCAATTGAATGTTCTCCTCAAAGGCCATTTACAGCACTTTTTTTTTTTCATTTTATTATACTAAACACCCCTTTAAACTTTTACAATATAACTACATACCTAATGAATTTAATTAATTTAATTTAGCAGTGATGATTATATTTTTAATTTTATATTCAATAATACTTTAAATTAATTGACAGATTATAGTTTACTTATGATGATCCAAAAAATGGCTGTATCAGCATTGATAGGGTATAAACTATTTCAGGAAACTGTTTACATGATTTATAATAAAAAAACATTAACAAAAGAAAAATGCTTCAGATGTTGTGTTGCTGCCCTTCAAATGGTCGATGAGAAAGCGAGGATAGTTCTGAACAAGAATGAATTCAATACCTTAACATATTATCTTGAAGAGTACTCAGCTAAGCAAATGACAATTGAAGCATTTGTAGCTGTTCTTCTTGAGCTTCTCAATACTCCTGACAAGGTAATCATCACTTAATATATTTTATCAATGTATGCCTTTGATAAACAAACCTCTCACCCCTCTATAACAGTAATAATTATAATGAAAAAGTTTTAATGAGTAAAAACTCCACTGAAAAGGGTATTCAATAAAAAATGTTTTAGTAATGTTTAGCTATATATTTAACTTTTACTGGCCGGTAAATAGTACAGTTTGCATATACATTTTTTTTTTAAATTAAACAAAGGATTTAATTTTTCATTCATTTTTTTAAAATCTCTCACTCTCAAATAAAGTGAAATAAAATAAAACAAAGTACATTAAACGAAGCTTGCATCGTGATAACCCTTTTGGTAATTTAGACTGAACAATGGATTGATCTTATAGCACAATTTACAATTTATAGTATAGCATTAATTTTTTTTATTATTGTAATTATAACATAAAATAAATCTCTGGTATAAAATTTAGAACTGCAATTAATTTTAATTTAATTTAAATTTATTCAAATTAATTAATTTTAATTTAATTTTGCAATATTGATTTGTTATTTGTGTAATTATAAAATAAAAATGAATCTCTGATATAGCATTCAGTACTGCAATAGTAGTGTTGAGTAGAATCTTTTTAATGGTTATCATTACTATGTTTGGGTGTCCTTTACTTGTTTCAAGTTGTTGTTTATTTTGTAATTTTTATAATAATATGATGCGATTCCAGTTAGTAAAAGATATCATTGTATTTAGATTCAAGATTCTCTGTAATGATAAATTAATGATTTAAGGTTGATTGATGTCTTGATCCAATTATTTATGACAATGGTGAATTCCAGTGATCAATTTATCTTGTTTCATTTTATATCTTTCAAATCTTAAGTTCTTCAACAAAGATTTTATATGGTTTCATTAAGTTAATTTATATTTAATATATAGTAAAATTATTTATGATGACTGATGACTTAGTTACAGTAAAAAAGAATTGTATTGTAACTATTCAACTTATAACGAAATCAATTAGTCAAATAAAGAGATAACTGGGGCATAATTTACATATAAGAATCATGACTTATATTGTGCTGATAATGTAGAGAGAAAGCGATGACAGCTACAATGCAGTAAAAACAATTAAGTTGATCTCGAGTTAAATCAAGAATCTAGAGTCTTGAGAAAAGATAAGAGTCCTTTTTTTCTTGGTGTGCACGCCTTTTTGGCTTAGTGGGCTTCATTCCAGAATTATTTATTATCTCTATTAAGATATTAAAAGGAATATAAATAGCTTGTTTTGGGAGCTGGGTTTGCTAAGTTGTTTAAGGCGCTAACAAAATGTACCAGCCTATGACCCCAAAGCTTTTTGGATTTGTCTACCAGTCCCGGGATTCTACAGGCCATAATTTTTAAAAAAGAAAGAAAGAAAAAGGCAATAACTAAATAAATCTGCTCTCTTCTCTATTCCATATACAAGTGAGTAAATTAAGTAATGAGACTAACTCTCTAGTGTTCAATCTGAAAACACCGGAGATGCGGCTCATGGAGGGGAGACAGATAATCATCTGATACGCGTCCAGTACAAGTCTGAATATACTAGAATTATTGCACTGTCCATAGTAATTTTTTTTTGTGAGAAAGATTTGTTTAGTGTTTATAAATGTAAATGACATCAATTTCAAATGACGATGTGTTCTCAGGTTCTGCTTCAGATTTGAACACAGTGCAATGGAAACATTTGAAATACTGCACCAGGTCTGTTTGCAAATGTGTGTGATACATCACAACAATGTTCCTTGTCACACTGCAATTTTTATCAACGAGTTTTTTGTCAGTAAAAATATTCCTGCAACTCCTCAGCCTCTTTATTGATCAGACTTGAGTCCATGTGACTTTTTTCTGTTCCCATAATTGAAAATCAAGTGACATTGGAAATTATTCAAACAGCTAAGTAGCCATAATCCATGGCTTGGACTGAGTTGTTGCTGTCCTTCAACACGAGTGAGTTGGTGAGGTGGACACTGCCGAATTGACCAACCAGTTATAGAGCAATAGGTCACCAACCGCTGCACTATAGAAACCTATGGTGTCCTTCTCCAGACTCTCTGTGCTCCCGCTAGTAGATTTACAGTAGTAATAGTATAAAGTAGATTTATACTATTACTACTATATTTATCTACTCCTGCTTTCACAACCATCTACCAGAAATGCTGACTGAAGTGATTGAAACCTTCACTCATAAAACTGTTCCTTTTCACCTAAAAAAACTATTAATTATTTTATGGTTAGTAAGAATATTTCTCAATATTGTGAGAATCAATACATTGCAATGCTTACAATTAGTAGTAATTGCTTTAACATAAATTGATAGTCACTGCATATTGTTACAAATTGATATTATCAAAGCCTATCAGAAGCTATTTATTTCTATTTTTGTGCAACTTTTACTCTTTTGAATCTATTCTAGATTTTAAATATCTTCAGGTTAAACACTATCATGGATTTTTTCTCAAATTCTATGACCTTTCTCAACATCACCTTTATGTCTTTCTATTACTTTTTATTTCCTTCCACTTCATCTTCAATTATCAAGGCATTCATACCATCTTCAACAATAAAGGATTTGATTCAGCCATGATAAAGAAATTTGTTAGTGATGAGCTCATCTTTCTCAATATACAACCTGCCATTTCCAGGGTCTTTAAAATATTTGATGACTTTACTACTGTTATTTCTCTATCAGTCTTTTTCCCTTATTAATCCATGTTTCAGAAGCCTTGCTCTGATTAGGAAATCCATAATGACAAAAATATAGTAGGCAACAAAACAGATTCTTGTTATAATCCTGCTTTATTTGTAAAATCAACAGAAAGTTTCTCTTCATGAAGAACTTTTTTTTTATTTTATTTATTTATACATGATATTTACAGCTGTATTAAAAAATTAAATACATTAAGTAAATTTGATAACAGAAAATAAAAACATGAAATGACTTGTTGAGAAACTACCCACTGGTAGCACTCTAAAAACAAATGTATTTACAATAAGAGATCTCGAGGCCATCTTCTTTTCAGACGCCTCGGAGGGTTATCAGGAATAGAAGAGGAAGCAAGGTTAGAGACGAGAGGATTCGGATGGTTCTGAAGTTTATTATGGAAAGATTGGTATCTGGATTGGGCCAAATCGGAAACATAAGGAACATTTAGGTCATTATGGATTATTTTATTGGTGACAAAGTAAGGAGCATTGAGGATTTTCCGAAGGATTTTGGATTGTAAGGATTGGATACGAGAGGAATTCGATGGCTTAGTGGAGCCCCAAAGCTCAACTCCGTAAGTCCAAATAGGTCTTATTGTACTCATGTATATAAGTCTTTTGTAATTTACTGGAAGCTTAGAGCGTTTGTCTAGTAAGTGTTGGAGTAGTCGGAAACGTCGAGCGGTTTCTTGTCGTTTCAGTCTGGTATGAGGATTCCAAGTTAGACGTTTGTCCAAGTGAAGTCCAAGGTATCGGATTTGTTCAACAGGGATAAGTGGGGTATTATTAAAGGATACTGTGGGACATGAGGTCATAGGTTTACGTCGAAGGGTAAAGGTGATTTGATGGGATTTATTAGAATTTATTTTAATCCTCCAGATTTTACACCATTCTTCAAGGCTTGTGATGTGCGATTGAAGAGTTTGGGATGCAATGGTTGGGTCATTATTAACGGATAGGACACATGTATCATCGGCATACGTGGTAATAACAGTGGATGTACAGTGGGATGTCAGCTGTATAAACTGTGTAAAGGATAGGACCAAGGATACTACCTTGAGAAACACCAGCGGACTGGGAAAAGAGGGATGAATAAGCATTATTGTGATTGACTTTTGAGTATCTATCAGTTAGATAGGAACGGATAATGAGGAAGTATGTAGGATGTAGGAATTTACGGAGTTTGTAAAGTAATCCCGGGTGCCAGACTCGATCAAAAGTCTGTTCTACATCGAGAAAGACTCCCGTGCAGTACATTCCGCGCTCTAATGCAGAGGAGACAACATCCACCACACGATGGCATTGCTGGATAGTGGAATGGGATCTGCGGAATCCAAACTGGTGATCTGAGATTACGTGATTAGAATCTAGGATTGGGTACAGGCGTTTTAGGATGAGTTTTTCTAGGACTTTTCCCATGATGGGTAAAAGAGAGATAGGACGGTAAGAGGATGGGTATTCTGGTGGCTTTTTGGGTTTATGTATCATTTTGATAATGGATAGTTTCCAAGGGTCGGGAAAATATGTTGATCGGAGTACAGCATTATATATATATGTAAGGAATAGAATGGCTTTCCGAGGAAGTAGTTTTAGGATCTGGGATGTAATTAGGTCGTGCCCAGGAGCTTTGCGGGAAGGTAACCTGTGAATGATGTTAGATATTTCTGAAGGATGAAAGGCTTTAGGAGGAGGAGTCATTTGGAGTGGGATATCCAGTTCTGCTTCAATACATTCAAGGTGATTTGGGTTAAGAATATCGGGATGTGGATTAAAGGTTTTAAAGAGGTGGTGGGCAAATATTTGGGATTTTTCTTCGTCGGATTTGGACCAGGTTTGGGCTTCAGTGAGTAGTGGATGGTTGCAGTCTTTAAATTTCAGGAGCCTTTTAGTGGTCGTCCATAGTGAATTATCGGTAGGTGTAAGTTTTTCAGTAAAATTTAGTAAATTTTGAATTTTGTAATTTCTTATTTCTGATTTCAGTTTGTTAGTCAGTTGAGTGTAATGCGCTTTATCTGTCGGGTATCTAGTTCGATGCCACTTCGATCTTGCTCTGCGTTTTTCCTTTAATAAGATGCGAATATGCTGTGGCAAGTTAGTATTTTGTGGTTTGTTTATCCTATTGATAAAGGTATTATTATTTATACTGTCTGTTATTGTTGATGTCAGTTTTTCTATGGCACCATTAATGTCTTCTTTTGTCTTTAGCGGAATTTTGAGGTCAAGTTTGTTTTCCAATTCATCACGAAATTTGTCCCAGTTTACTCGTCCAGTGATAAGTTT